GCCTGCAGAAGTTTTTTTAATGTTGGTTTTTTTACCACACCATTCTGTGTAAACACTGGAGCACCCGTGTCATGCACATGGTCCGCAGGCCGAATACGACTTGTTCCATGTAAACCTGGATAAAATTCTATTGAAATGGGCTGTAGTACAGTATATGGCCAAAAGTTTTTGGACATCTGTCCATAACATCACGTTCCAGATTTATTTCCCCTTTGCTGTTAACCTCCACTTATCTGCTAAGGCTTTCCACTAGATTTTGGGAATTTGTGTTCATTCAGCCACAAACGCATTAGTGATGATGTGTGAGAAGGTCTGGGGGGCAGTCGGCGTTCCAGTTCATACCAAAGGTATCACGCTCGTGTCTAAAAACATTTCAAAAAGCCATCAGGTGCTGGCAGTGGCGTAACCCGGAATTCATTTCTTGCGGTATGAGGAAATGTACAAAATAAAATCGTAATTCCTTTCGTGATTTGTACAGTTGTGATGTGCTGTCTCCATTTCAGGTGGCTGTCGGACAGCAGTGGCTGTAGTGATGACATGAATCTGTAATCATTCAAGGCACAGACTCCTGTTATCCATAAAATAGATTACATTTATGATATTTTCACTGGAAAGGGTCTAAAGGACATTAATCAGTAGACCTTCTCTTATAAGTCCTGATCTGTTTACATCTTCACCAGCTCTATGCTTTAGCTAGTGTCTTTCAAACAGAAACGGGAAAAATGGGTCCCATTTGGCGGATAGCAGGTGGTGGCCAATAAAGTGTGATTAAACAAAGGAATGCATTCGTAAAACTAACTCTAATTGCTATAATAAGTGTTATTACCTAATAGTATTGAGTACTTCAATAGTTTGTTAGCTTTACTTTTCCTTAAAAGCCTTCAGTTCTAATTTTATTGTCTCGGTTATTGTAGTTAATTGATAGAATATGTCCGATGTCTCATTGCAGGAGATGTAGATCAACGGCATATTTGTGAGATCAACTGCCTGAAATACAGCCATCCACCTGGCAGCCATTTCCATACTCTTCCATTAATCATCTTCCAAAGACCTTTTCAAGTTCACTGAAGGTGAATTTGCCACCATGAGGAGGTGCTGGAATAGTGTTGGAAAAATCGAACCTTTTTTTTTTTTTTTTAAACTAGGTTATGCCACTGTTGATGAATGCTGAGCTTGTGTTGATTTGCCTGTTGTACTCTTTCTCATTACTGGATCAGGGGAAAATCATCTCGTTGTGACGTGGTGCAAGATTTCTCGGAAGTCTATGTCACAACACTCATAATTCTTTCAGCACATTTCTCAACATCGATTGTCAGGATGTCCAGAGTATACAAGACCGTTATCTACATATGATGGTGTGGCAGTTACCCTGGAGGATATTATTTTGGCTTTTCTTTGTTTACATTTGTGTTGTCAGCGTTGAAAGCCAACAACCAGTTTGTTTATCACTGCACTTTTGGCTGTGAAGAATTACACTCCAAGGGGAAGCATTTTCCCCCTTATTGGAGCCATTAGTTGAAAGATGGAGAATGGGAGAAGTCTTCTGGTGTCAAAATGCTCCCCAAATTTCCCACTGTCTTTAGTGCAAGGACATATTTTACCAATGCCTCTTTTTTCTTCTCCCACGTGACATTTTTGGTTCTTGCGGTTCACAAGCAGCAATGTTTGTATCGATTATTGAATAGAAGTAGTCTATAATACTGTTGTTGTTGTTTTTTTGTTTTTTTTTTTACAGGAAATATACATAGGTAGCATTCCTCCTCCTCCAAACACGGCGAGTTGAGTTGAGGCCAAAGAGCTCCATTTTGGTCTCCTCTGACCACAACACTTTCACCCAGTTGTCCTCTGAATCGTTCAGATGTTCATTGGCAAATTTCAGACAGGGATGTATATGTGCTTTCTTGAGCTGAGGGACCTTGCGGGCACTGCAGGATTTCAGTCCTTCATGGTGTAGTGTGTTACCAATTGTTTTCTTGGTGACTATGGTCCCAGCTGCCTTGAGATCATTGACAAGATCCTCCCGTGGAGTTCTGGGCTGATTCCTGGGCTGATTGAGATCTTGCATGGAGCCCCAGGCCGAGGGAGATTGACAGTTTGTTTGTGTTTCTTCCATTTGCGAATAATCGCACCAACTGTTGTCACCTTCTCACCAAGCTGCTTGGCAATGGTCTTGTAGCCCATTCCAGACTTGTGTAGGTCTACAATCTTGTCCCTGACATCCTTGGAGAGCTCTTTGGTCTTGTCCATGGTGGAGAGTTTGGAATCTGATTGACTGATTACTTCTGTAGACAGGTGTCTTTTATACAGGTAACATACTCTTAAAGGGAGTGCTCCTAATCTCAGCTCGTTACCTGTATAAAAGACACCTGGGAGACAGAAATCTTTCTGATTGAGAGGGGGTCAAATACTTATTTCCCTCATTATAATGCAAATCAATTTATAACATTTTTAACATGTGTTTTTCTGGATTTTCTCTCACTGTTCAAATAAACCTACCATTAAAATTATAGACTGATCATTTCTTAGTCAGTGTGCAAATGTACAAAATCAGCAGGGGATCAAATACTTTTTTTCCCCTCAGTGTATCACCTACCTGAACATTGCTGCAGACCAAGTACACCCGTTCATAACAACAGTATTCCCTAATGGCATTGGCCTCTTTCAGCAGGACAATGTGCCCTTGCACACTGAAAAAAACTGTTCAGGAATGGTTTGAGGAACATGAAAAAGAGTTCAAGGTTTAACTCGGCCTCCAAATTCCAGAGTACTCGATCCAATCGAGCATCTCTGGGATGTGCTGGACAAACGAGTCCGATCCATGGAGACCCCACCTCACAACCTACACGACTTAGGATCTGCTGCTTACGTCTTGGTGCCAGATACCACAGCACACCTTCAGAGGTCCTGTGGAGTCCATGCCTCGATGGGTCAGAGCTGTTTTCATGGCACGAAGGGGACCTACACAATATTTAGCAGGTGGCTATGGCTGATTGTGTATACCAATGTATGTTACAAAAGTTTGTGGCCACCTCACCATCACACCTGTAGTTCATCCATAAATTGTTGCCACAAAGTTGGAAGCATGTGCTTGTAAAGAATGCCTTTGTTTGCTGCAACATTAGTTTATTTTCACTGGAACTAAGGAGTGCAAACCTGTTCAAGCATGACGGTGCCTCTATGCACAAAGCGAGCTCCATGAAGACATGGTGTGTTATGGTTGGACTGGAAGATCTCGAGTGTCCTGCACAGAGCCCTGACCTCAGCCCAACTGCACACCTTTGGAATGAACTAGAACACCGACTGCACCCCAGATCTCCTCACCCATCAGCGACTGATCTCACTAATACTCTTGTAGCTGAATGATCACACATGATCCCCACAGCCATGCTCCAAAACCTAGTGGAAAGCCTTCTCAGAAGAATGGAGGGTATTATAACCACAAGGAATAGAATAAATCTGGAATGTGATGTTCATGAGAGGGTCAAGTGTCTACAAACTTTCGGACATATAGTGTGTGTGTGTGTGTGTATATATAAGATGGAATGATAAGATTTATTTTTTTAATCATCCTATTTATAGAATATATCAGATTTATGAAATATATCTAATAGCCTTCAATCCCAAATCTCTGAGAATGGATGTAATATTATCAGCATGTTGTGGCTCATTTGCACGGAATTGATCAGGTTTAATGTAATTATGTTATGGCTCTTTTTTGGAATTGGTTCAAACATGTATCTAATCAGAGCAGTATATAACATAATTGCTAATCAAATAACAACAACGACATACGATCTCCACCTCAGGGGAAGTCAGAGGTAAAAGGAATCGAGTGATTCCACTTGGTCTTCTGTGCTACAGCTGCTTGGACACGATGTTAATGCTGCGCTGTTATAAAATATTATCCCAAATGAGTACTTAAGAGCACTGTGGTATAAAAGGGTAATATTCTTGTAGTGCAGTTTTGTCCCGCTGTTTGTTCTGAGCTCACTAATCAATAATCAGTACACGTTTATTGCCTACTTTGTGTGGCTCAAGGTTCCTTTCCAGAACCTTCACACTAATGAACTTTTGGTGGAATGAACTTTCAACCTCAATCTGGACCAAAGAATCTGTCACCATCTTCAAAAACAGCTAAAGACCCACCTCTTCCATGAAAACCTAACCAACCTCTAAAACTCCAACCCCCACATTATCCTTTCTTTATTTTTATTTAAAAATAAAAAATAAAAACCTTCCATCAGCAAATTCTCAAAGTAGGTCCACTGCCTCTGTTGTTTGATATCTCTGTTTTGGATACTCGAAGTAAAATGAAGAATCTTTGAGAAATTTTTGATACCAGCCTTAGATGTGATTCTTTTGTACTGAGCACTGTTAAAGCATCCTTTTTTTCACCTCAAATATAGCGACACTGCACCCTATGCTACATTTCACTGTAGCTGATAAGCTTATTACTGTAACTCGTCCGTTGCCTCTTGGATAGATTACTGTAACGCCATTTTAGCCGGAGTTTCTAAATCCACATTCACGAAGCTCCAATATGAAAACTCCTGACTGAGGCCCAGGACATGCGGTCATATTACTCCTGTTCTGGAGTCCTTGCACTGGCTCCTGGTCAGGTTCCGTGTCGAGGTGAAAATGATGCTGACATACGAAGCATTACATGGCTTAGCTCCTCATTATTTATCTGCTTTGTTAATCCCTTACACCTCAAATCACAGACTGCGCTCCTCTGAGTCTAATTTGTTGTCCACAAACCTGCTTAAAACCCATGAGTGAGAGGGGCTTTTTCTGTCTCTGCTTCTTCCCTTTGGAACTCTCTTCCTCGTGAACTTAGTCAAGCTCAGACCTTTTGGCATTTTTAAAGCTCAACTTAAGACTTATTTTTTAAAACTTGCGTCTGCTTGCTGATGTTTACTTATTATTATTATTATTATTATTATTATTATTATTATTATTAACTTTTATAATAAAAAATTTTCTGCTTTTAAATTATAGGGCGCACGGTGGCTTAGTGGTTAGCACGTTCGCCTCACACCTCCAGGGTCTTGGGTTTGATTCCCGCCGGGGCCATGTGTGTGCGGAGTTTGCATGTTCTCCGCGTGCGGTTGTTTCCTCCGGGTACTCCGGTTTCCTCCCCCAGTCCAAAGACATGCAGGTAGGCTTATTGGTAGGTAAATTGTCCGCAGTGTACGAATGTGTGTGTGTATGTGATTGTGCCCTGCCTGTCCAGGGTGTACCCTGCTTTGTGCCCGCTGCCTTGTGCCCGATGCTTCCTGGGATAGGCTCCAGGTTCCCTGCGACCCTGAAGAAGGAATAAGCGGTTGAAGATGGATGGATGGATTATTACTCCGGCTCTTACACCTCACACTTTGCTTCTCTAGAACTCAATTATTATAAATAGTGTACAGTAGCACTACTCGTATTGTTCTCCACTTGATATATCCCTTTGCTTGTATTTCCTCACGTGTAAGTCTCTTTAGATAAACGCATCCGCTAAATGAGTAAATGTAAATGTATTCAGTCCCTCCAGGATTTTGCAATCACAGAAATTAACGCAAAATCAAGCAAACTCCACAATATTCGGAGGAACTTGCAACTTTTCAAAGTTGCCACATCACAACGGACGTTCAGCCAAAGCTCTCTTCTTCACGTGCGTTGAACAGCTAAAAGATCTCGTTTACCAACAAATATCACTGCAAAAGACCATGCGTGCAATTTTGTGCAGTGGCAATTTTGCCAATTTGAGGTGTTTTCTGCAACAACAAAAAAAATCACAAAATCGCACTGATTTATATTAGAAGGCGTCCTTCTTGGAAGTAATAATGGTCCAAAAAAAAAAAAAAGGTGAACAGTGTTATTTTGGGCAGCGTATGTAGGATATAAATCACGAAAGTCCTCTGAAAATAGTTCCAGTCCTTGGAGGACCAGAGTCCTAGATGAAACCAATATGTCTAAAAGTTCTGGAATGAATCTAACTTACTGCTTAATTTCATTGCGTAGTCATTTGAGTCGAGTTACATTTGTATGCCAGTTCACTTCTCACAACCATTTGTGTTTGGATTAAAACTCACATCCTTGTCGTTCCACTATTTGTTGTTGTTGTTGTTCTTAGAATGTGGTTTGCCTTCTTTTCTTTTCGACCTTTCTTTGTATAGCTATAGGGCTAGAGGCTTCTTTTCACCTATCAAGAACTCCTCAAGATCTGACTTACAAATCACCAAGATTTTAGAAGAGTTATGACATCTTAGCCAAGGAAGAAGCTGTTTCAGTGCGTTTAAAAAAAATAAATAAATAAAAAATTATCCAGGTGAGTTTCTTTTTCAGCACTGCAGGCAGAACATCCTGTGATGTAGAGCTCTTTGGCATGCTGCAGGACGATGCTGTCTGGAAGACGTTAGCAGGAACAGAGCTATCAGGTATTTTGGGAAAACAGACCTTGGCTTTCACTTTAAAACATTTGTAAAGCACAGAACCTGTGGTTTAAGCACAATGAAGGATTTGTAATCTGCTACTGCATGTGAATGTCCGTATCAAATGATTTTTATTTTTTTTTAAATGATACACTTTTGTAATCAATCAGGTTTGATATTGAGATCACACGGTGTGTCGGCACATGAGGTACACTCCAGATGTTTCGTTGGTGTTTCGTAAGATCTGTGTTTCCGATCTTACTAGTACCACAGTGCTGTTGAAATTCTCAAATCTGATCTCAAATTTTCGATAAGAGCAGCAAAGAAAGTCGTGCTGGCTGTAATTCAAATTGGGTTCATATCACAGCGTTTGGTCTAATGTTATTGTTTCTATGGTAACATCTCATTCAGAGGGACCTGTCTGGCAGATGATCCACACAATCCATTATTAATAATAAGCAAATTTTTAAATGGAGTGAATTAAAATGCTGTAACGCACACTTAACTGTTGATTATCCCGCTTATACCGTGGTTACTTGACAGCATTGACAAGTTAAAGTTGCCACTGATGTTTACAGTGCAAAATCTGACTGAAAAGATAAAAATAAGGCTTAATTTTTGTTAGTTAGTTTATATACGGGTCGTTAGATCTAGAATACGAACCACTCCAAATTATACACAGAGATAATGTAGTGTGATAAGGATACATTTATTTGAATGAATTATATTAAATAGTTACTAGAGAGAGAAAAATGTGCGTGTGAATTACCTGCGTCTGTGCTGCGTCTCTGCTATTACTGAAACTGTGAGTTTAACTGTATGTTACTATGGTTACAATTGTTTACAGGCAGCGCATTAATAATTTAGAAAAGTGATTAAACTGAGCGGAACTTCCTGTGGTATATACATTTTTAACGCACACCTTCCAGCCAATCAGAATCGAGTACTTGAACAGATCGTGGTATAATAATACAAATATGCAGCTTGTAAGCATAACTGAGAAATGGCAATGCGTGAAGACTTTCCCTGAGGTGGAAAACTTAAAGGAACAGCTTTACCTTAAAGTACTGACACTGTCTAAAATCTTCTGAATGTTAAACTACTCCTTACAGAAAGCCTCGCCAGAGCCATACTCTGTTGGTTGTTAAAAACAACAGGTTATTTTTGTTTTTTGTTTTTTTATCCACTTACTGTTGGGTTTAAATTATTATAATTTATATAATCTCCATGCTTGTTGTCACAATTTAGTTCTAATTCGACTGCTCGATGTCACTCATTTTAAAATGCTATAGTGTTTAGTACTCTTTTTCTCTACAGTGTAGATTTTAGAAAGAAATCCCACTTCTTCATTTCTGTTGCCTCAGGAATGGGACCAGATGAAAACTGCTCACAACCATTTGTGTTTGTATTAAAACTGACCTCTTTACGGTTCGGAAAGTTATTGGTTCCACAAATATCTGCCTGATGATGGATATTTCCCGAATTTATCCTGTGACTCTTGTAACAGAAACGATGTGTCCACAAAAAAAAAAAAAGAGTCCTTGAATTTCCATACTCATTGTACAAACAAACATGGCATAATCTGAATATTTTGGTCCTAGATTAACCTCATAATGTACTGTTAGTAAAATAAGTAGCCATAAAACTGGCTCTAAATGTTCTATTGACAATAACAGATTTTTCTAATTATGGAAAGCAGATATTGTAAGGGGAATATATCGCAGCCATGTGGTGTGCATTGCTAGTACATTCTAAAGGTACTTGGAGAGTAAAAACAACTATTTTCTTCTGTGTATTCCAGCAGGTATGACTGAAGATGAAAAGGCTGGTATAAAACTGTTGTATTTTATTTATGTGAATATGTGTTTTATTATTTCCAGATAGTTCAGAACCTGTTGTGCTCAAACAGTTATTTTAGTATCGATGTGTTGGTAGTAAATCGTTAAAAAAAAAAAAAAAACCTATTTAATCTTTCCACTAAGAAAAATATTCTCTCATAAAAGAAAACCTAAATAATACTCACCTATATTTAACCTTGTTTGATATCGATGAGAGCAGAGTATTTTTCTGAATATTTTTGAGCAAAAGATCCAATAATTAAACAATAAAGATGAACATTTTTCCACATATTCTTTGCACATATTTACCAAGGGTGCCAATATTATTGGAAGGCACTCTATTTGTAAATTTGTAAAAAAAATAAATATAATAATAATAATAATAATAATAATAATAATAATAATAATAATAATAATAATAAATGAATACATTTGGAGAGAAGAATACTTACAAATCAGTTCCTGCCTGTTCTGAGCCTGGTTTCTGCTTTAAGTACAATGGATATTAAAAAGTCTACACCCCCCTGTTAAAACAGCAGGTTTTTGTGATGTAAAAAATGAAAGTGTGATAAATCGTATCAGAGCACTTCCACCTTTAATGTAAAAATAAATTACAGACTGTACAATGCCATTGAAAACCAAACTGACATATTTCACAGGAAAAAGTTTTTTATTTAAAAATTTTTTTTAACTTGGAATAACCTAATTGCATAAGTGTGCACACCCCTAAACTAATACTTTATTTGATACCTTTTGAAAATCAACCATCAAAGTGGAGGGAATCATGAATAGCTACAAATACCAGTTCAATTTTTTGCAAAACATTCAGGAGTCTGCTGGTGAAAAGGAACTTCACCTTTCAGCACGACAATGACCCAAAGCATACAATGCGGGAAATAACTACTGGATGCGTCAACATTTTGTTTCAGTAAATATATTTCCAATCGGGCTATTCACGTGAAATTTCCACCAGACATCATTATTAACTCAAGAAATACACACACATAAAGAATTCACAACATTAAAGTCCAATAAAGTCTTGTGGTGTGAGCGTGAGCAATGGAGTGCACTGCTTATTGTTTTCTCTGTGACTATGGTACCTACTGCCTCCATGTGTTTCTGGAGCACTTTCTGAGTGGTCCTTGGCTCTTGGGCTACTCTTCTGACTATTCTTCTGACTCCCTGGTCAGAAATCTTGCGAGGAGCTGTTGTATATGCCGGTTGATGACGGAGTGATGTTGATTCCAATCGAAGGCCCCAATGGTGCTTTCTGGAATATTTAGAGGTTTTGAAATACGTCTGTATCCGTTTCCATCAATATGCTTCACAACAATAAGGTTTTGAAGGTCTTGGGAGAGCTCTTTGCTTTTACCCATAATGAGATGTTTCTTGTGTCACACCTTGGTAACCAAAAGCCTTTTTATAGACCATCAGTTTACTAACCCAGCTGATATTAAATTAAACAGATATTGGGTATAATTAATTATGGATTTCAGCTGGTTCCTTGCCTTACCTTGCCTTGGAGAACTGCTTTTTCTTAGCGTGTTCAATACTTTTTTCCCCGTGTCATTCCACTTTATTACACATAACATTGGAGGTACGCCCTGTTCTTCGTGATGTCACTGTGGTGATCCATTTTCTCCACTTGATGATGTTGATTCAGTATTCCATGGAACATTTCATGTTTACAGTCCATGGCTTCAGCAGTCAGATGAATTCGACAAGATGTTTAGAAAATCCTACAGAAACAGCTGGTCTTTATTTGGGATTTCTAAGAAAAATGTCATGGATGACATCCTACAGACCATTCTGAACACAAACA